GCAGATTGACCCACACTGGACAGCATCTATCAGGTCACCGGTAACCGCAAGCTTAGGCCTCTGCCAGGTGAAGAATTTGAAAGGCACTCACCTTGTTTACTGTGTGCCTAGAAATTAACAGGTGTCGCTCTATTGGATGTTCTACGGGATGTTCTCTACGGGATGTTCTCTACGGGATGTTCTCTACGGGATGTTCTCTACGGGATGTTCTCTACGGGATGTTCTCTACGGGATGTTCTCTACGGGATGGTCTCTACGGGATGTTCTCTACTGGATGGTCTCTACGGGATGTTCTCTACTGGATGTTCTCTACGAGATGTTCTCTACGGGATGTTCTCTACGGGATGTTCTCTACGGGATGGTCTTTGCATTTAAATAGAATTTCTATGCAGCTTAAAGGGAAAATGAAGAATCCTTACAAAACTCTCAGGGAAAGTTGTGCTGAGACATTTCCCCTCACTTCCCCTTTGTTTAGTTTTTCTGCAGGGGAGGGCTTGGGGGGAAAAAAGGGGAGGGAGGGGGGGCTAACTAGACCTGAGCCTGGCACTCATGTATGCCAGCTTTTGACCTGGCCACACATCACCTCGGCTACACCAGCCGCTAGAGGCATCACGCATATGTATTGCTTTTGTTTCTGTTTGTCTCCTCTGCAGAACTCTAGAGCCGGAAGCCAGGTCTTTACCCGGTACTACAAACGAATGAAAAAAAATAGGTAATTTGTGCGGCAGCTACAGGTCGACATCAATCTTCTCCGCTTCTGGATCCTTGCTGGCCACAGGTCACGTGATCTTTGTTAAAGAGCAGGCTTGTCTGCTTGTCTACAATCCCTAACATAAGTACAATCTTTGTCTTTTGTGTGTGTCAATCCTTCATTGAAATCGCAGCCACCTTGTCAACTGCCTGTGATCCCTGTTTGATGTCCTGGTAGGGTAGAAAGTCAGTCAGTCAGTCAGTTTGTCAGTGTGGCTAGGCACATGCATTTTTCATCCGTGGTCCATAGTTGCTTGTGTAGATTGTACCGCGGGGTTTATATGGGAAGGACTGTGTGGAGTTTGTGTGGGGTGGCATTAGGTATAGTTTGTGTGGGATTGGTGAGATGGAGTATATGTGGGATGGGTAAGGTCAAGAGTTCTTGGAATGGGTTAGGTGGAGTTTGTGTGGGATGGGTTAGGCGGAGTTTGTGTGGGATGGGTTAGGCGGAGTTTGTGTGGGATGGGTTAGGCAGAGTTTGTGTGGGATGGGTTAGGCGGAGTTTGTGTGGGATGGGTTAGGCGGAGTTTGTGTGGGATGGGTTAGGCGGAGTTTGTGTGGGATGGGTTAGGCGATGTTTGTGTGGGATGGGTTAGGCGGAGTTTGTGTGGGATGGGTTAGGCAGAGTTTGTGTGGGATGGGTTAGGCGATGTTTGTGTGGGATGGGTTAGGCGGAGTTTGTGTGGGATGGGTTAGGCGATGTTTCAGTGAGAATGATGCGGTTGAGTTGGGTGATATGGATGAGGTGGAGTTTGGGTGAGATGGATGAGGTGGAGTTGGGTGATATGGATGAGGTGGAGTTTGGGTGAGATGGATGAGGTGGAGTTTGGGTGATATGGATGAGGTGGAGTTTGGGTGAGATGGATGAGGTGGAGTTTGGGTGATATGGATGAGGTGGAGTTTGGGTGAGATGGATGAGGTGGAGTTTGGGTGAGATATGCTAGGTAGAGTTTGTGTGCGTTGGATGAGGTAAAGTTTGTATCCGTTGAATGTAGTTATTGCGCTAAAAAAAAAAAAAAAACTCTGCTGCATGAAGTTATTGCCCCTAATTATACCTCTGCTGCAAAAAGATGCGTTCCTTATGATAGCTCTGCTGTATGTATTATTGCCCCTAAATATAGCTCTGCTGCATGTATTATTGCCCCTAAATATAGCTCTGCTACATGTATTATTGCCCCTAAATATAGCTCTGCTGCATGTATTATTGCCCCTAAATATAGCTCTGCTGCATGTATTATTGCCCCTAAATATAGCTCTGCTGCATGTATTATTGCCCCTTATGATAGCTCTGCTGCATGTATTATTGCCCCTAAATATAGCTCTGCTGCATGTATTATTGCCCCTAAATATAGCTCTGCTGCATGTATTATTGCCCCTAAATATAGCTCTGCTGCATGTATTATTGCCCCTAAATATAGCTCTGCTGCATGAAGTTATTGCCCCTAAATATAGCTCTGCTGTATGTATTATTGCCCCTAAATATAGCTCTGCTGTATGAAGTTATTGTGCCTAATTATAACTTATTATAGCTCTGCTGCATGGAATTATTGTGCCTGATTATAACTTATTATAGCTCTGCTGCATGAAGGTATTGTCCCAAATTGTAACTCGTCTCTATAAAGTTATTGCCACCAATTATAACTCTGAACCATAAAGTTATTGCCCCTAATTATATCAGACGCATGAAGTTATTGCCCCTAATTGTAACTCTGATCCATGAAGTTATCGCCCCTAATTATATATTTGTTGCATGACGTTGTTGCCACTAATTATAGCTCTGCTGCGTGAAGTAGTGTCCCTTATTATAAGTCGGTTTCATAAAGTTATTTTCCCTAATTATATTTCCATGAAGTTATTGCCCCTTAATATATATCTGATACATGAAGTTGTTGCCCCTAAGTGTAACTCTGATCCGTGAAGTTATTGCCACTTATGATAACTCTGCTGCATGAAGTTATTGTTTCTAATTTTAACCCTGCTGCCAAGTATTATAGTCCCTAATTATAACTTTGCTCCTTGTACCAGTAGATATTTAGTCATTATGTGGGTTATTGCATTTCGGGTAATTATTGCCCCATTGCCGGCTAATCTATTTGTTGACTACTCTATTCGTCAAATAGGGTGTTTTCAGCTGTTGAATGTATCAAGTACTGTATTTGTCAGCTACTGCATTTGTAAGGTATTGCGTTTGTCAGGTATTGCATTTGTCAGGAATTGTATTTTTCGGTTACTGCATTTGTCAGGAGGTGCGTTTCTCATGAATATGAATATTCGACGGGTATCTCATTTGTCTGAAATTGCGTTTTGTAAGATTTTGCATTTGTCAGAAATTGCATTTTAAACATGGCTTTTTTTTTTCGGGTATTGCATTTTTCAGACCGAGTCGGTAGTGTGTCTGAAGTTGGTGTGATTTCCATTCAGAAACTATCTCTGTGAAGCGAAGATCTGCGGGTGTCCCAAGATCGTGTCACAAGACCGTGTCAAAAATCGTGTCACAACATCGTGTCACATGACCGTGTCAAAAACCGTGCCACAAAATCGTGTCACAAAATCGTTTCACAAGATCGTGTCCCAAGATCTCATGGAGAAACTATCTAGACTGACAACCGATATCGATGTGGTGTGTCAACAGACAGGCCGGACGCTGACCCCATCTCTCGCTAGGTGCGACAAGCCAGACGCTGACCCCATCCCTCGCTAGGTGCGACAGGCCGGATGCTGACCCCATCCCTCGCTGGGTGCGACAGGCCGGACGCTGACCCCATCCCTCGCTAGGTGCGACAGGCCGGACGCTGACCCCATCCCTCGCTGGGTGCGACAGGCCGGATGCTGACCCCATCCCTCGCTGGGTGCGACAGGCAGATGCTGACCCCATCCCTCGCTAGGTGCGACAGGCCGGACGCTGACCCCATCCCTCGCTAGGTGCGACAGGCCGGACGCTGACCCCATCCTTCGCTAGGTGCGACAGGCCGAATGCTGACCCCATCCCTCGCTAGGTGCGACAAGCTGGACGCTGACCCCATCCCTCGCTAGGTGCGACAAGCCGGACGCTGACCCCATCCCTCGCTAGGTGCGACAGGCCGGACGCTGACCCCATCCCTCGCTATGTGCGACAGGCCGGATGCTGACCCCATCCCTTGCTGATCGCTCTATCAAATACAGGTCTGACCCTATATGCCCAGTGTGCCTCAAGGTGAATGATGGTCCTTTATTGATGTCAACACAAGAGGTGGTATACATGCATTATGCAACCAGGGATCGTGATCTGTGCAGACGCATGAGCGCCTACGCCAGTTCGCTTGGAACATGATTATGATGATGATTATATGGGGTCCCCAAGTCAATCTTCTGTGTTATTCTAAAGGCTTTATCGAGCCGCCCCTGAACTCATGTTACTGGGTTATTTGAAAGGCTTTATCGAGCCGCCTCTGAACTCATGTTACTGGGTTATTTGAAAGGCTTTATCGAGCCGCCCCTGAACTCATGTGACTGGGTTATTCTAAAGGCTTTATCGAGCCGCCCCTGAACTCGTGTGATTCTTCTTCTTCTTCTTCACTTCCTCTTTTACCGCTGTGGGTGTCGAGGGAGATATAAGGTTTTGTTTCTAGCTCTTCTGGCTGCCTCGACCATAGGCACATCGTGCTGTTGTAGAGTTTCTCTGATGTTATCCTTCCATCTTGTTCTTGGTCTACCCAGTGCTCTACGTCCTTCATGTGATTTAGTTCACTAAATAACTTGTATCATGAATCAATGCCTCCCCTTCACGAAACCAAATTCCCCTTTCCCCATTCAGGTCTACAAAGGGAAGGGGATATTCCAGTCTTTCAGAGAAGGGCGAATGGGCAAGTGTCTTTATATCCTCGTGGTACCAAAATGGTTATTTTTACGATGGTTTCCCCATTTACACACCACCAGTTGTAGGTCAACTCCATTGATAAAATGGTTGTACTATTCTGCCGTGGTCGAGGTTGTAGGTGTCGCAGTTTGTTGTTGTCTGGTTTTTACGTTTCGATTTCTGAGAAAGAGACGGCCTGTGACCTCGGTTTTGTCACTCTCTATGGGGGTTGTGTGTTAGACCCTGTATCTAAATGTTTTAGAAGTGTTAACAGCTCTGGCATGGTGAAATATACAACACGCGGTATGAGCGCGAGTGCGGAATATCTCCGTGACCCTGTGTGAAAGTCGGATCGCTCAAGAGTGATGAGGCTCCCAGGGAGGGCAGGCGAGAGGGCGAAGTAAGACACGACAAGATGAGGTCAATAGGTTCTAAGTTTGGTGCTATTAATCAAGTAACAGAAAGTGTTATTTATAAGTTTGGTGCTGGAGTCCAGTGTCTCACTTTGTTGTCTATTGTTGCCGTCATGGCCAGGCTGCTCGACTTATCTCTATTCTCAGAAACATTTAGTGGGTCAGTCGGATGTGTTGTGCTCAGCCACTGTGATCATGTGACCGCACTGACCTCCAGTCAGCGAACTACTGGGTTGGTCAGTCCAGTGTCTCACTTTGTTGTCTATTGTTGCCGTTATGGCCAGGCTGCTCCACTTATCTCTGCTCTCACAAACATTTATTGGGTCAGTCGGACGTGTTATGCTCAGCTGGTGTGATCATGTGACCGCACTGACGTCCAGTCAACGAACCACTGGGTTGGTCCATTCAGTGTCTGCTGCTCAAGTCTGTTGTCTATTCCGTGTCCCTGTTCTCACTGAATCTCTTGGGCTCAGTATCGTTCTGATCAACGATGTGAGCGTCTGCTGCCGATGAGACACGTCGACACGGCTCCACGGAAAAGGTTGCCAACGGCTGCCTAGTTGTGATTTGAAATAGAATATATTTTGTCACGCAATTGTACATGCAATAGAGCGAGCGCTATAACATTTTTTGGGGCAACAAAACGCTTTAAAATATATTAAATGTATGATACTACCTACAGAATAGCAATAATTTTATTTAGAAAACGAGCCTAAAAATATTACCAGTATGTTGGAATATTGCGCTATGAAACACAATTTTACAATAAAGTGCAAAAAAAAAAAAAAAAAAAAAGGTGATTGTTTGCTTGTTACTACTGTTTCCATGTTTCCGTGAGTTTTGAAATTTCACTAAATTGAAATTGTAATTTTGGAATCTTGTTGTTGGCAATCAGTTGTGACTGCACATTTAATCATAAATCTTAATGTTGGCAATCAGTTGTGACTGCACATTAAATCATAAATCTTAATGTTGGCAATCAGTTGTGACTGCACATTAAATCATGAATCGTGTTGTTGACAATCAGTTGTGACTGCACATTTAATCATAAATCTTAATGTTGGCAATCAGTTGTGACTGCACATTTAATCAGGAATCTTGTTGGCAATCACTTGTGACTGCACATTTAATCAGGAATCTTGTTGGCAATCAGTTGTGACTGCACATTTAATCAGGAATCTTGTTGGCAATCAGTTGTGACTGCACATTTAATCAGGAATCTTGTTGGCAATCAGTTGTGACTGCACATTTAATCAGGAATCTTGTTGGCAATCAGTTGTGACTGCACATTTAATTATGAATCGTAATGTTGGCAATCAGTTGTGACTGCACATTTAATTATGAATCGTAATGTTGGCAATCAGTTGTGACTGCACATTTAATCAGGAATCTTGTTGGCAATCAGTTGGGACTGCACATTTAATCAGGAATCTTGTTGGCAATCAGTTGTGACTGCACATTTAATTATGAATCGTAATGTTGGCAATCAGTTGTGACTGCACATTTAATTATGAATCGTAATGTTGGCAATCAGTTGTGACTGCACATTTAATCAGGAATCTTGTTGGCAATCAGTTGGGACTGCACATTTAATCAGGAATCTTGTTGGCAATCAGTTGTGACTGCACATTTAATCAGGAATCTTGTTGGCAATCAGTTGTGACTGCACATTTAATCAGGAATCTTGTTGTTGACAATCAGTTGTGACTGCACATTTAATCAGGAATCTTGTTGACAATCAGTTGTGACTGCACATTTAATCAGGAATCTTGTTGGCAATCAGTTGTGACTGCACATTTAATCAGGAATCTTGTTGGCAATCAGTTGTGACTGCACATTTAATCAGGAATCTTGTTGGCAATCAGTTGTGACTGCACATTTAATCAGGAATCTTGTTGGCAATCAGTTGTGACTGCACATTTAATTATGAATCGTAATGTTGGCAATCAGTTGTGACTGCACATTTAATTATGAATCGTAATGTTGGCAATCAGTTGTGACTGCACATTTAATTATGAATCGTAATGTTGGCAATCAGTTGTGACTGCACATTTAATTATGAATCGTAATGTTGGCAATCAGTTGGGACTGCACATTTAATCAGGAATCTTGATGTTGGCAATCAGTTGGGACTGCACATTTAATTATGAATCGTAATGTTGGCAATCAGTTGGGACTGCACATTTAATTATGAATCGTAATGTTGGCAATCAGTTGTGACTGCACATTAAATCATGAATCTTGATGTTGGCAATCAGTTGTGACTGCACATTTAATCATGAATCTTAATGTTGGCAATCAGTTGTGACTGCACATTAAATCATGAATCTTGATGTTGGCAATCAGTTGTGACTGCACATTTAATCATGAATCTTAATGTTGGCAATCAGTTGTGACTGCACATTAAATCATGAATCTTGATGTTGGCAATCAGTTGTGACTGCACATTAAATCATGAATCTTGATGTTGGCAATCAGTTGTGACTGCACATTTAATCATGAATCTTAATGTTGGCAATCAGTTGTGACTGCACATTAAATCATGAATCTTGATGTTGGCAATCAGTTGTGACTGCACATTTAATCATGAATCTTAATGTTGGCAATCAGTTGTGACTGCACATTAAATCATGAATCTTAATGTTGGCAATCAGTTGTGACTGCACATTTAATCATGAATCTTGATGTTGGCAATCAGTTGTGACTGCACATTTAATCAGGAATCTTGATGTTGGCAATCAGTTGTGACTGCACATTTAATCAGGAATCTTGATGTTAGCAATCAGTTGTGACTGCACATTAAATCATGAATCTTAATGTTGGCAATCAGTTGTGACTGCACATTTAATCATGAATCTTGATGTTGGCAATCAGTTGTGACTGCACATTTAATCAGGAATCTTGATGTTGGCAATCAGTTGTGACTGCACATTTAATCATGAATCTTGATGTTGGCAATCAGTTGTGACTGCACATTTAATCAGGAATCTTGATGTTAGCAATCAGTTGTGACTGCACATTTAATCATGAATCTTGATGTTAGCAATCAGTTGTGACTACACATTTAATCATGAATCTTGATGTTGGCAATCAGTTGGGACTACACATTTAATCATGAATCTTAATGTTGGCAATCAGTTGTGACTGCACATTAAATCATGAATCTTAATGTTGGCAATCAGTTGTGACTGCACATTTAATCATGAATCTTGATGTTGGCAATCAGTTGTGACTGCACATTTAATCAGGAATCTTGATGTTGGCAATCAGTTGTGACTGCACATTTAATCAGGAATCTTGATGTTAGCAATCAGTTGTGACTGCACATTAAATCATGAATCTTAATGTTGGCAATCAGTTGTGACTGCACATTGAATCAGCTTGCAGCTGCTACTGGTAACATGTCCACTCTTGGTTGGCTACCGAAGAAGGGGGCGTACGACACATGGGAATGTCTCCAGTACAGTGATGTCGGTCCATTAAATCATTCATTCATTCATTCATCCAATGACATGGCTGGAGACACAGATCTCTTCCCGTGCAAGTCGATGACTCAGTGAGTATGTCAGAAGATAGACAAGGCTGGATCCGAAAGCGCTGGCTAAAGTCCCTAAAGCAGTCGGGACAAACACATATCAGTTTTATATTTGTGCCAGGGCACGCAGGCATGCAAGAAAGCCACCTCGTTTCTGAGCCATTGTTTTTCCACACAAAAAAAAAAAAACATAACAAAAGATGGATAACAAAGAAGGTTGGAAGAGAAACAACAAGGAGAAGGCAAGGAGATACATGTTTGGATGGCTTGGCTAAATGCATGTGACGCCACAGAAACACTGACCCAATCTGTGATTCTGGTAATCGTGTGGAATGGCGAAACATGACAGCCTACTCTTATCAGCGCAGCACATGATGGTGATGTGTTTTATACAAGGAGGAAGAAGAGAAAGATGATTATAGGATGACGTGTTTTATACAAGGAGGAGGAAGAGAAAGATGATTATAGGATGACGTGTTTTATACAACAAGGAGGAGGAAGAGACAGACGATGTTATGAGGATGTGTTCAAACAATGAAAAGTAAGAGAAAAATGATGATATGATGTGTTTTAAACAAGGAGGAGGAAGAGAAAGATGATGTTATGATTATGTGTTTTAAACAAGGAGGAGGAAGAGAAAGATGATGTTATGATGTTGTGTTTTAAACAAGGAGGAGGAGGAGAAAGATGATGTTGTGATGTTGTGTTTTAAACAAGGAGGAGGAAGAGAGAGATGATGATATGATGATGTGTTTTAAACAAGGAGGAGGAAGAGAAAGATGATGTTATGATGTTGTGTTTTAAACAAGGAGGAGGAGAAAGATGATGTTATGATGTTGTGTTTTAAACAAGGAGGAGGAGAAAGATGATGTTATGATGTTGTGTTTTAAACAACGAGGAGGAAGAGAGAGATGATGTTATGATGTTGTGTTTTAAACAAGGAGGAGGAAGAGAGAGATGATGTTATGATGTTGTGTTTTAAACAAGGAGGAGGAAGAGAGAGATGATGTTATGATGTTGTGTTTTAAAACAAGGAGGAGGAAGAGAGAGATGATGTTATGAGGATGTGTTTTTAATAAGGAGGAGAAGGAGAATGATGATGATGTGTTTCACATAAGGAGGAGGAAGAGAAAGATGAGGATGAAATGATAAAGAAAGAGAAGCAGAAGACCTAGGCAAGGTTGTGCGGTGGCGGGGGGGGGGGGGGGGGGGAGGGGTGGAGAACAATTAAAAAAAAGAAAAGTGAGAAATCAAAACCAGCGATGGACTGATCAATCAGAATAAGAAAAAAAACGACTTTCAATATAAAAAAGGAAAAACATAGATAACAAAAATCTTATTTTGTTGTATGAATTATTATTTCAGTTGTGCAAACAAACAAAAAAGCTTACAAGTTGGTTACATTCTGGAACATTTATAAGTGTTCAAAAGATGACATCATCTGCACCTGTGACCCAAGCTACGCAACGGCTCCATCGGCAACCAATAATTCTTTCACATTTTTTAGATATGTCTTTAAATGGCGGTTTCATATTTCTTGCCCAAGTTTTCAATGAGGTCTTCTGTGTTTTCCGATGTTGTGAAGTAAACACATGTAGAATTGTGAGGTAAGTACCATATCAGCTGGGATCGCTGCCACGATGGAAACATTTCATAACAATAAAACGTGTCTGAACCATTTTGGGGTATGTCTTACTGCAAACAACGAGTTCTCTCGCTTGCTGACTTCTCTGTGTATGTAAATGTGTGTGTGTGCGCGTGTGTGTGTGTGTGTGCGCGCGCGCGTGTGTGTGTGTGTGTGACTGCAGTGGCTGGAGAGTG